GGGGGCTGACTGTTGAAATTTACTTTTACCTAGGAAGGAAAGGTTGGGTAGGCTCCCCTAGGCCGCATGGACCCCTTCTGCACCCCTTTCTCGTTTTGCTACTTATTTGCTTGTCTTCAAGTTGACATTCCCTATGCGTAGGTCGTCGTCTCTAAGCATCTTTGTATGGATCCTGCTTGTATTTGGTGCAAAGAACCCTGGTTCGAATCTCCGGTGTGGCGTTCCTGAACGGGTTTTTCGGGGAATGTTGAAGGGTCTCCACTTACTTGGCTCGGTTGTATTGGATGAAGAATGTAGACTAGTACTTAACAGAAGTTTTGGGTCCTTGTCGACTCTAAAATCATTTAGGAAAGGGGCTTCTTCGACCCTGCCTGTCAGGGCCAACCCGGGCTGAGAGATAGATGTCACAGCAGAAAGACAGAGATACTCTATTTTTAAAAAAAATTCCACAAGGGACTGGAATTCGCGTCTTCTGTGTTCGACAGCGAAGCGCCTAACCGCTACACCACAGGCGCCTGTCTTCTATTGAAGATGGTAGTTTCTTTCTGAGATCTCGCCTCTAAAATAACCTTACTGTGTTGAAAGCGGCGTTGAAATTCTTACTTCATATACCTAATTTATTTCGAGGCCATTGCTTGGCCGTGTGAGTGGACGATTTATCTTCAATTCTTCAACAGGTGGGAACAGGCTCCCCCAGGTCCAGCTGGCTTCAGGCCGACTGCTCACGCAGAGATTGTAAGATAGAATTATCCCTTCCCTTTGTTTCCTAACGGACATACGTCATGCCTATTCTTAGAACAGAGCATGGCATTATTATATTGAAGTGTTGTGCGTGTCTGTAATTGAAATCGGCGCGTTCCGCTGCCAACAGCATCTTCGTGGCTTCATTTGGCAGGGGTGTGCGGGATAAAAAGAATAAGATCCCTCCCTCCCTTTCCCCCGACTTTCAATATGCTTGAGATGGCGGTATGTAAATCAAGTTATTTCCAGCATTAATTATCGTTGAACTATACTTCAAAATAAAACACAAGCAAAAACAACAGCCAACAAACAACTCCCCCCCCCCCCCCCCCCGAACTATACTTCAAAATAAAACACAAGCAAAAACAACTTCCTGTACAAACAACCCCTCCCCCCTCTCCCCCTCCCTCTCACAAACGCTCTAGTCCTTTCACCCCCCCCCCCCCCCCCTGTTCCGACAGTGTGCATAGATATTTTTTTCTGGTACATTTGATGTCATTTCTCAGCGATCACCACTCGCCACTTAAAACTGTCCTGGTGATCTTTCCATCACCGTTATGCGTCAGCCTGGTATCATGTTGCCCTCACAGTTTAACGCGCTCTGGCTCATACCTTTTTGGAGACATTTATTATTCATTGCAGAGCGATCGCCGTGTCTTTGTGACTAGACAGACATACATGGCGGCCTGTGTACGGCTAGCAAGTCGCCCGTAGTTTTAATTTCGCTTTTGTTTTTGTTTTTGTATTCTCAGATTCATTTTTGATACATTCATAATCTGTCTGTCTGTCTGTCTGTCTGTCTGTCTGTCTGTCTGTCTGTCTGTCTGTCT